CATATACATATATATACATATACATATATATACATATACATATATATATATACATATACATATATATACATATACATATATACATATATACATATACATATATACATATACATATATATACATATGCATATATATATGTATATACATACATATACATATGTATATACATACACATATACATATGTATATACATACACATATACATATACATATGTATATACATACATATATACATACACATATATGTATATACATATATAAATACATATATATACATATATATACATATATGCATATATACACATATATATACATATATACACACACACACATATATATATATATATTCCAACGGACAAACTATATTGTACCTTAGTAACTTCTAAACGCAATGGATACAAGAGTAATATTTACACAGCCTAGGACCATTAAACCACGGTGATCCAGGGTCATACGACGATACCATTTGTTGAAAGATTGTCCTGGGGGGGACTTGACAATCGATAGACACCTTCTTCCGTTAGCTCCACGTCGAACGTGATAATACGCGGTCATGAAAATCACGCAACTACGCGTGACAAGTATGTACCTGTTCACGTTTCTATCAACTAGTTATCAACATTTATACATAATACAACCAAGTTCCTCGCACGCATGCACGCATTCTCAGCCCCACTCTGTAGGATTGCGTAACGTTCTCTGCCCCACCCATTGTTTTCCCTTCTCGATGGTGGTAGCCGATTTGCGTGGTCCGTGTGTGAATTCATGTCATGCGTGGACATCGTCAACTCGACACTCAATGTCAATGAAAATACCTTTCTCGATAGTGAAACTTTCGTGGCTGAAGACTCTTTCTTTCTCTTTTTTTTTTTCTCTTTTTCCCTCTCTCACTGACAGGTTGCAGCTTGGTAAAAATCGTTGGTAAGAAATCGACCTGTACGAAATCGTTGAACAGACATTGCACGGGTGAAACGAACGAAGAGCGAGAATACGACCTCGGACTTTGTAGTTTGGAACAGATTTCGGACAGAGAAACGGGAAACGTGCACGCGTGATAAATGTGAAAAAAAAAGAAAGAAAGAAAGAAAAAGGAAACCGGGCGTTTCCTCTTCTAAGTCGAGCTCGGTAAAGATTGTTGTCGACGCTGCACATTCCTACCGGCGATCGGGGGTGTCGTCGGATCTTTTACGCACGAGGAAGCGACTTCCGCCGCGCGCGGATTCTTCGTTCATCCGCAGGCATGTACTTACTTATTTACTTACTTATTTACTTACATACTTACTTACTTACGCTTATACGTGGGTGCAACGTCCCGAGGATCTCACCGATCGCCTACTATGTTTAAATAAAATAACCGGTGAATCGATATACGATTGTATGATTATGTGATTTCGTTCATTCTCGTCACCGACGTTCTCGTTTCTTCGTGCGTAAAAGCGCAAAAGGACGCAAGGTGGCATGGCAC